TAACAATTAAAACTAGAACTAACACTAGACCTAGAACTAGAAAGTTTCGGGTTTAGCCGTGCGTCTTCAGAAACTTCAAACTTTCTAGTTCTAGGTCTAGTGTTAGTTCTAGTTTTACACTAGCACTGTTACTATGTAGAATTAACACTATACCTAGAACTAGAATCATTTGGATTTAGCCGCACGTCTCTTAAGACGGCTAAACCCAAATGATTCTAATTCTAGGTACAGTGTTAGTTCTAGTTTTAGACTTGCACTGTCACTAGAACTAACATTAGACCTAGAACTAGAAACATTTGGGTTTTGCCGTACGTCTCGTAAGACGGCTAAACCCGAATGATTCTAGTTTTTGGTCTAGCGCTGCATAACAATTCAAACTAGAACTAACACTAGATCCAGAACTAGAAAGTTTTGCACGGCTTAACCCAAATATTTCTAAGTCTAGTGTTTTTACACTTGCACTGTGCCATGTAAAACTAACACTATATCTAGAACTAGAATCATTCGTGTTTAGCTGTACGTCTCTTAAGACGGCTTCATTTATACAAGATGTTGCATTTAATTTTTTGAAATGGAATGCTCTGTGTATTTTATCATATTTGTTCAAAAAATTAGAGAACATTAGATTTTTGGGATATCAATTTGGGATTCAGAACATGCTTAATAGTGAGTTTACACATGCATGGATTTAGTGGCGCCAATAAAAACTGGCGCGCCAGTAAAATTAAATTGCATGTGTAAACATCAACTGGCATGCAAGTTGAAACCATGCATGCATGGATCGGAAAAGTTTGCACCCTTCTGAAATTACTGGCGCCAGTGATGAGTCTAAAACATGTAACCATGGCAACATAGTCATTTAAATAACCGTACGTAGGTAATTAGTAAATTTTGATATCGGGCATTTCCGCCTTCGTATTCATTGTGGTTCATACTTTCGATCGAGATGTTGATGACTAAAATTGGTCAATTAGTTAAGGAGATAAATGATGTGTTTGATTAATTCGTTTTTTGTGTTTTTCAGCCAGGCGAAAGCTATCGATTGACATATAAAACATTAAAATCCGTCAAACCGTTCTCTTATTATAGTCGATTTAGTTTAAATTAATTTTTTTATATTGGGGGCTAGACTTTTGGGCGTTCATAAGTGCGTAAACAACGAGCCGAACACGGTGTCATTCCGTGGGCTGTACAAGGTTAACGGGAGAGAATTGAAATCAGGCATTTTGTGATTTCGATAGAAGAAACTATGACGAGTTGAATGACGTATAGATCTTGATCATCGGGTACATTGTTTACGAGTCATTTAATCACCACTTAAAAAAGGTCATTTTTGTGTTATTTTCGTGTACCTTCGCATTATTTTGGCGTTTTAGCGGAATTCGAGAGAGATTTCGAATCGGGAGATTTCCACTTTCGTATTGGCCAAGGATTGAGCTTTCGAATGAGATATTGTTTATCGAAATCGGTTAACTGGTTCTCTTGTTATAATCAAAATACTATACATGTAAAATCCTATCTAATTGGGGGCTAACTTCACATAGGTAAAAAAATATTTTAAAGCCAGAACTTCTTGACCTTTTCGTCATTATAATAAAAGATCTCTCATCTATGTTTGCAATCAAAAGAATATGAATGCTTCATCTCCAACAAGAAATTAAGACAAATCCCATCGGTTCGCCTATCCATCTGGATATGTATCTACATCTCCTGATCTATAGACATATTCTCCTTATCATCAGTTTCTTTCATAACATTTTCTACTTAAAAAAAATAAAAACTCAAATCAACGACCAATAAATCCTAACGATAATTACCGCCAATAACAATAAATAACTCATCATCATCATCACACAAACTTATATTCCTCTAATTTTATTTTTAACCCACATTTCCAAACATAGTCTACGGTCGAAGAAGCTATAACCTTCGGCGACGTGTTATGTTGCAATACCAAACCGCCAACAAGAAGATTCTAGTACGGAGAACGTCTAAAGAGTTACGTGACACGCACACTTCGCCATCCCATCCCAATACATTCGCGTTACCTACGTGTACGTGCACGTGTTCTCATGAGCGAGAAGAAATCTCATGGAATTCCCCCACTCGATAATTCAACGTACGCCGAATCTTCTTCATGACCCCAATGGGGGGTGGTAACAGTGGTGGAGGATCCATCCTTTCACTAATGTGTGGCGGTGGTTCAGCTCATCTTAACTTCTTCAACTTTGTTCAGTCGTTTGTGTGTGCTGATCGATTCAAGATGAGGGCTTTTTATGTACTTGCATACTGTGTGGGTAAGTGAAAACTTATATTAATTTATATAATTATCTTGTCTTAAATATTTATTCAAAATTAATAATTTGTATTAAATTCGGTTTAAAATAGCTAGTTGAGTTATCCAATTAAAACAAAGAAAAACAATACAACAATTAGGAAAAGTTCGCACAGAAAAGAAACACTTTATGTAAAATTTCTCAAGAAAGAAATTGAACCCAACCGGATCAAAGAGTTTTTATTCATAAAAGAAAATGCTTGGGTGTATAACGTGTTAAGTAATCATTAATGAGATTTGATATCGAATTTAATCAGGAGTTAAGTAACTTTGATTGAATGTCGGGGAGAATTTTCTATACGTGCGAGTCTATTATTAAGGAAGAATGTAATTGTGGTGTTAAATTGATTCATATCCAAGTTAGGATTTTTCTAATTAATGAAGATGAGTAAGACATTTTAAGAAAATAATCATCATTTTTCTATTACAAATTTTGTTTAAATGGAATAATGAAGACCATTTGACATTTCTGATTACTCTTTTCTTTATTTAAAAATAGAATTACATAATCCATAAAAGATGACTACATTCTCATCTTTATAACATTCCATCCCGACAATAAAAAATATGGTTAGAAGAAATGTCAAGGTCTTCGCCTTTAGGTCGTCTCCTGTTTACCATTCTCATTTATCGATGATTTTAATGCTTCACTTGTTGTTTGTCGGTGCTCTTTAATGCCAAACCTTCTCGTGCAGCTTTCCAAAGACGAACATGGTTTATCGGTCCTGACCTTTGTTAATGAACTGTTCACGATGAAAACGACAATAACGCACGAGAGATTCACCTTCTTCCGTTATTTTACCACTTTCTCTTTAACCAAACGCGTGTTATATTGGGTGATAAATATTTTTTTTTTAGAAAGTGATTTCCGGATTTAAGTCATAATCTTTGAGGTGTTTACGAAGAAATTGATTTTGTTAACTTTATTATTAAATTATTATTATTGTGGTGGATGCGCCGGTTATTTAATAAAAATTTATTTTTAGGTGTTTTGACAACGTGGGTTAATTCCCAATTTTTAAACAACCGCCCATTTCCTACATACAGTTTGGAGTCAATGCCCGATACAGACTTTTCCTGCAGAAATAAAATCCTAGGTTCTTACTACGCTGATATCGAAACCCAATGTCAAATGTTCCATATTTGCGTTAGAGTTTCCGGTTTAGGGGTAAGTACTAATTGTTTCCTTACTTTCCCATTCGAAATGTAAATTTAGTAATAATATGAACTACATTCACAAGACTGATAGAATCGATTTTATTATTTTGAATGATAATAATATTAATAATTTTATATAGTAACGTTCTCCTTTGTTTTGTACATGTCGTGTGCACAGCATGCTACAAACACCATTAATCTTTAAACAATCGAAATGTCACCATCGTGATATGCTTGATCTTCTTCTCACAATCTAAACACGTCTTGTTGCGAAATATATCCGTTGTTGTTCTAACGAAATGCCAAATTATCTTGTTTTGTTCTTTATTGTGAAAAAAATTATAATAATCAACCTTGACACGGTTACAAAAAAAATGATGCTCTGCTGTAATTCACCGTGAAATTTTTTCTGTTACGCAGGTGCAGGACTTCCGTTTCCTCTGTCCAAACGGTACTGCTTTCGATCAAGATCACCAAATTTGTGCGGAATGGGAGGATGTCGATTGCGACTACAGTACTCTTTATTATGCTAGCGACAATTTTGATTTATATCGTATTGGTTCAGGTAATTTCTTAATCTTAAAAAATTCTTAAAAAGTTCTTGAGAAATAATTTTCTTTTTCCTAATTCAGGTTTTGAATCAAAAGCTGTAAAATATGGTGAGGAGGAAGAGGTGTTCGCTTTACAAAGAGCAGAAACTGGAGATGCTAGAATCAGTGGGGACCAACAAGTTTACAGGGTGAATCAACAAAAACAACTTGAAAACGCTAATTTAAGAAAATCAAAAGCACAGAATCAATATCGTTCAAATAATAACGAAAATAATAATGATGAAATATTTAAAAGTTCGAGTAGCTCGAATTTCTTCAATAATAGAAATAGAGGTAAAGAATACGATGAAGAAAACGTGGAGGACGACAAAAACGTGAATTATAATCAAGATAGGGATTACGAACAAAGAAGGAAAGTGAATAGACACCAAAGTAGAAGGCCAATTAAGAATGATGTTACCACAACAACTACGATTGCTCCTACTCAAAGAAATAACAGACCAACAGGATTTATAAATAACTTCGCTGGAAGTAGCTTTTCAACTACATCTAAACCAATTACTACAACCGAACAACATAGAACGAGGCAAAATGTTAGAAAACAATATGATTACAATAATGCGGATAATTTCAGGCAAAACACAAGAAATTATGACGATAATAATAACAATTATCCCAGTACTACTTACACTATCAGTACACCAGCCCCATTTAGAACTAATAACCAAAATAACCAACCTACCACTTATTCCCCGAAAAAAATCGAAAATTATCCATCAACCCAAGCTAAAGGATTCACAAAAGAACCCGAAAATTATCCATCCAACTTCCCTAAAATACAAACAACACCAAGAAACACAAATTATGACGCAAATTATGAAGTTACTAAAGTTAAAAATTTTGAAACTAAGAAACAAACGGATTACCCAACCACTTTTGCTCCTAAAACATTCAGCGGGCAAAGCTTTCCTTCTACATTTTCTCCCAGAACTAACAATGGATATACACAAATAAGTCAACAAACAACACAACAACAAAAACAAAATACACAACAATTTAATACTCAAACTACAGCTCAACAAAGAAATACACAAAATACGCAATATAACACACAGTATAATACTCAATATACTACAACTCAACAACCTAACACACAATTTAATACTAAAACGAATCAATACTCAACAAATACGCAAACTACTCAATACAACACACAAAACACCCAATTTAATACTCAAAATACTCAATATAACTCACAAAACACCCAAAACACACAATATAACACACAAACTTATAAAACTCAACCTATAAATACAAGAACAACCCAATTAACAACATCAAAACCGACTCCTTTCACTCAATATACCCCAACTGTACCGAAATTAAGTTCAACAACTCCTGTATCTAGGTCGCATCGTTTTGATGAAACTCAATATGATGATGGATCGTATAATTCAAAGTATGATAATTACGATAATAACGATGAATTTTTGAAAACGGCTCACAGCACAAACATTGCGAGTAGTAGGAACGAATTGGCTAAGAGTAAAACGACCTCGAAGCCTCAATACGATTCGCCCAGACCGTTTTCGGTAACTACAAGTGCGCCCAAAGTAACTGAAAATTTGAAGCCGGTACAAAAAGTGGTGTCGCAAAGCGGTGGGGATCCCAAAAAGGAGAAGAATGCAAGTTATGATTACGCATATTACGATAATAATCCGGTCGCGGAAACTGAGTACGATATTGATACGGAGTTTAAGAAGTCGACTGGAAAACAGTAGTTAGTAATAATAATAGTTGTTTAGGTTTGGTTTAATTTTGATTGTTAAGGAAATTTTAGTGAGTAATTTTAAATTGTGAAATTATGAGTGTATATAAAGTTGTAGTTGAGATTTGCAAACATAGCCAGTATGTTATATAAGTAAAAAAAAAAAAAGATAAAAACGAGGAAGACAAAACGAAATTTTCTTATTTATTGCTACGCACTTTTTCGTATTGTTTTATATTGTAAAATATTACTGAATATGAAATAAAAATGTTTAAATACATTTTGGTTATTATTAAACCACTTTATTATTATTAAGTAAATGAGTCATTGAGTGCCAAATGCAGAAAAGATATAATTAACTTGAATACTGCTTTAGAGGTAGAGAAGAAGCAAAAGAATAGGGAAGATTCCTATTATTATTATTATTATTTCTATGGTGGAAATTATATTCCCTTTGCCTGTACAACTACCTCCATAGTAATAACTAAAGTACTTACAAAAAAAACATATTTATTCGCATATATATATATATTACACACATAGCTTATCCTTGATTATTATATTGATTAATAATAATTACCTACTGCCTGTGAAATGCAGTAAAGCAAGGGACAACGCAGAGAGGTACTGCACATCTTTCGCACATTATTTTAGTGCGTTTATCGTTTGTTTTCGTACTGCAAAGTCTGCATCGTTTATATGTCTCCGACGGACAAGGTAAATGATCTCCAACATTCGAGAATCGTACTTCATCAGCAACCACATGAATGGCTTCCTGGCGAGTGTCGGCCTGTATCAACTTTTTTCTGATCACGTAGGTGGGATCGTCTTTTTCGACTGGAGTATACACCAATAAGCCCTCGAGCTAGGGCTACGCGAAACTCCAAATGCGTCAGATTTACTTTACTTATCTTGCTCATAATAAAAGCGTTAATGATGCTAGCATCAAGGAGAAAGTAAAAAAGGCGAAGCCACCATCGTTTGCTTCTTCTTCCAACTGTGTATGTGGTTTTGATCTGGTCGAATTTATCCCATTCGCTTAGTATACTGCTTAATGGCTAAAGGGCAGCGAATTGGCACTTTACTGCCGTCTTTCTGAGTCCTCAAAGTAGTACAAACTCCGACTTTTGGATGGAACGCACTGCTCAAAAGTAGTACCTCCTTATTATCCTGCCAAATTATAAAAGCAACATTGTCCTTCACACGCCATTTAAATTCACCCTTAGATAGCTTTAGTTTTCTAGCGTTTGGACCTTTTGTAAGTTGAGGTAATCCTTCTCTGTGCCTACGCACGGTGCCAGTTGCATATATGTTATGTTCATACAAATATTCTAAAAGTTTGTTATCTGTGAAGAAGTTGTCAAATGTAACGTGAACATTCTTTATATTGTTATCAATTAAATGTTGCGTCAAGTTCTTCACGACTTTTGCTCCCAGCCCTTTTTCCANTACATGCCTACTCCTAAAAACTAAAACTATTAATTGATTCTGCATTATAATCTTCATTTCACTTATAATCTATCTTATATATGAGCTAATAAAATAAAAAATAATATAATGAAATAAAACAAAAACAAATTATTCCACTTGCATTAAAATTAGATTGATCCACTACAAAGCAAACAAGAAGTCACTGTCGCTCAAATAAATGCCTAAACAATAACGTTCTGAAAGCACCCTCCCTTTTGGCCCTAATGGTGACGGGGATAGAATTATACAGCTTATAGGCACAGTAGCTAAACGCACGACAAAACAGAGCTGTACTATGAGCAGGCGGATTAACAACATTTTTATTTCTAATATTTATACTGTGTAGATCCCCTCTAAACTGAATCTTTTTACTCAAATAATCAGGCGAGCCAGTTGTGACAACCTTGTGATACAGCACTGAAGCCTGTAGAGTATAACGATTGTGAATATTCAGCCAAGTTAACTCTTTAAGCTTATGAGAGATTCTTTCAAATTTTCTAATTCTGAATATATATCTCATACAAGCGTTCTGCACTCTTTGCACTCTCAATCTATCCATGGAATCCAAACATGGATAGTAGACAGGAATACAATAATTAAGCAAAAACAGTACAAAACATTCACAAAGCACCTTTTTCATTTTTAATTTAAAAATATCTTTGAAAGAATAGAGTAATTTTAACTTCAAAAAACAAACACTTAATGTTTTAGTAATGTGCTGTTTGTACCTAAAGGCATTATCAACAACTAGCCCAAGATTCCTTGCCTGATCAACAATAGGAATATTGAAACCGTTCAACCTAAGAATCAGATTAGCTTTCAATTTCTCGACTTCCACATTTCTGCCAAACAGAATAACTACACTTTTATCAGGGTTTAATATCAAGGCGTGATTCTTTGCAAATTCACTGACAGCTTTTGGAAGCATAGATGTGTATAAACACCGACCCCTGCGGTACTCCACGCTTCAGCTTCAATGGTTCAGAAATTAAGCCATTGACCTGTACACATTGGCATCTGTCTATTAAATACGTTTTAATCAACCTTATAAATTCCTCCCCGCCTCCAATATAGTGAAGCATCGACAGCACAATATCATGGTCAACAACATCGAACGCTTTGCTAAAACCCAACAACACTAAAGCGGTGCACTCTTTACCGTCTTTGGCCTTTAATATATCGTCAGTGACATTTAAAAGTGTAGTTGTGCAACTACGTCCAGGCACAAATCCCGATTGACAGTCTGGTAATATATCATTTGAAATAATAAAGTTTTTAAATTGGTAGGAAATAACTTTTTCCAGTACTTTGCTCAAGGTAGGAAGAATAGAAATCGGTCGCAGGTGCTTAAAGTCAGTAGGTTTTTCGATTTTCGGTATTGGAATGACCACAGCAGACTGCATCAGACGCACGGTGCCAGTTGCATATATGTTATGTTCATACAAATATTCTAAAAGTTTGTTATCTGTGAAGAATCATCATTCATCAAATGTAACGTGAACATTCTTTATATTGTTATCAATTAAATGTTGCGTCAAGTTCTTCACGACTTTTGCTCCCAGCCCTTTTTCCACTCCATCCGTTTTCCCAGTATAAATACTAAATTCATACAAATATCCTGTCTCACTGTCGCATCTACACCAAATTTTGTATCCCCGTTTGATGGGCTTGAGAGGTAGGTATTGCTTTAGCGAAGACCGTCCTTTGAAGAGTACCATTGACTCATCAATACTCTGTGAACTAGATAAATTGACATTATTTTTACAGGATTCGTTAATAATATTTATCAATGGCCTCAGTTTGAACAACCTATCGTATTCGGGACTATTTCTTTCAGGTTGTCGCGCGTTATCATTCAAGTGTAGGCTGCGCATAATTTTCTTGAACCTTTTTACTGGCATTATTTCTGCTATGTCATTTTCTCGAAAACCTGGATCAGACGACCAATACAGGTCTATCATGGGCAGAACTTTATAGCCCATTATTATGAGAATGCCTAAAAAGGCTTTTATTTCATCAGTAGTCACGGGCGTCCACTCTTTTATTTTCATTTGGTCGGCATATAAGTTTGTTTGCGACACAATAAGTTCTATAGCTTCATTTGTAAAAAACTTTTCAAAAAAGCGGATGGGCCTAGTTTTAGGATTGAAGCTTTGCTTAGTAGTCAAAGGAATCTTGTCAAAATCTTCAGCAACGGGCCGAGAAGTCCAATATGTTTTTTTCCATGTCTCTTCTTCGAGATCAGAATCATCAGTGTCGTCAGGTGAGGTACTGAGTTCGGAAGTTGAATATCGAGATCGCGTCAACCGCCTAGCCGGCCTTACAGTAATTGAGCTACTATTTTCAATTTGTTGACTTACATACACGGACAGGTCTTCACTTTGTAAATCAGCTGGTGGAATGGTTTCAGTAACCATAATTTCTGATGATTGTATTATGCAGGAGGTGCGGAGACATTGACGGATCATCGAGATTTTCCAGTATTTTTTGAAGCCGAGCGGTGCTGTACGGAGCTTCTTCCTTTTCGGCTTCCAGGTTATCGTCAGACACTTCTGGGTCATCAGGCAACCCAAAAAGCTCTTCAAGCGCATGCTCTATTTCGAATTCTGATAAACCTTTGTCTAAGCCACTTTTTGCACTCATCTGCCAAAGCAAAGCAAAAAATATAGCAGCCACTCGCAGGCAGAGGGAATATGCTTCCCACCACAAAAAGCAATTTATTTGAAAAACCAGGATACCCAAAGGTAAAAATATGTGTCAAAATACTTAGGACAAATCCAATATAACATGTAAATAATAAAACTTACCTCAAAATCTCGAAGATCTACAAAATAGACCGTTATACAAAATTTGGTACGAAAAAACACTATTTTTGAACATTCAACAGGTGACAGCCAAGGACAGTAGAATCTAACAGGACTGCTACATCCATTGTTGTGACAACCTGCCCGCAAACTACGTCATACCATTTGCCACGCCCAGCTCTATGCGTTTGCTGTGGTTTTAGAGGTTATATCGTAGACGTATTTTTGAAGTTTTATTTTTGTAGACGTATTAATGTCTATCATGTAACCTCTAAATCTCTAAAAACACACAGCAAACGCGTAGGACTGAATGAAAGTTAACAGGGCGTGGCAAATAGTGTGACGTAGAGTGCGGGCAACCAAACCGTAGTGGGCTACAAAAATACAATGCATGTAGCAGTCCTGTTAGATTCTACTGTCCTTGGGTGACAGCAAAAAAACAATGTTATGACAGTTATGCATTTCTTCACGTCATATTATTGACAGATCACTAAATAAGTTGCCAATTTACAAAAGAAAATTAAATTTGATTATTTTCTTATAAAAAACTTAAAAAAATTATGGTGGTAAAAATATCACCTCGTTTTACTGCTTTGAGTCTTAAATTCTTTTCTATTACATCAATTCCAAGTTATGGAGTTATTTAATTGTTAATTTAGATTTTTTTATAAATAACTAATAGTCAATTTTCATGATCATATTTATTCATTTATAGTTTCATTTAATTTACCTACAAGTTAGATTATTAACCTAAGCGCATTATTTTATTTATACATACAAAAATATAATCAATAGTAACAATAAATTGGTAATACTTAATACATAATCTACCTGCTAAAATGGTACAGTATATTACACATGTTCTCTTTCGCTAAACAGTCCATTTCGTCCCTTTATGTTTCAATAAACTTCCCTCGTTTATTCCTTTATCACATTCATAATTTTATTATTAAACACACCTACTCGGTTTTTTCTTAGTACAAATCCTTTTAATATCATCGTAATAAGTTCCCATATCGCAAACAAATTTCATATCGACCGCCTGATTACTATTATAACCAGGGGAACAATAATGGAACAATCTACAGTCTCTTGGATCTGAATAAAATTTATTCACCTTTTTATCCAAACAATTAAACGTATATTTATTAGAATTTCTCATTTTCACTTTGACGACACGCATAATCGGCGTAGTCGATTTAAAATTACTCCGAGGCAAAGTCGGATTCGCACTTCGAATTAAAGAAGGATCGGTAACGATGTCTTTCGATTTATCCTTTAATTTTTGAGTAAAATTTTCAGGGATAACACTAAAACGATGTCTTCCTTTAACCCTCGAAGAAGTCGTTTTTGGGACATTAGTTGTCGATTCTGTCGTTGTTGTCGTTGTTGTTATTGTAGTTAATTCAGTATTTATATTTACACTAAAACGATGATTACTTTTTCGTTTTTTATACGGAGAAGTTGTGAAAGTATTTAAGTTTTCATCCGTGGTAAAAGTACTTAAATCTTCAAGTTTTAGTTTATTGGGATTTTTTGTAGTTATTGTTGGTAAAGTAAAATAACCAAGTTCTCTAAGTGAATCATCTTCATTTTCTGATAATTTATTATAAACACTATACCCCAACATATCACTTAGCGATTTCGATTCTTTCATTTCGGGTAAAATCGTTGTAACTTCTTCATTATTTTCCAATAAAGTTGTTAAAATTTCTTGGGTCGATGAAACTACATCACTTGTAATTGGAGTTGGTGTTGTTGGTTCTTTTGGACGAAACGTTTCTAAAATATCCCGTTCTATCGTAAATTCATCATCAAGTTTTTGAGTTGTTATTATTTCTTCTGTTGTTGATTCCGGGGTATTGGTATCACCAATTAAAGTTGTTTCAAAACGTTCGGTGTTTTCTGTAATTATCGGCGTCTCTGTTGTTGTTGTTATTACATCTTGGATTAACTCCTCAACAGGTGTTGTTGAAGTGGTAATTCTTCTTGATGTGGGTTCTGTTGTTATCGATTCAAAAGTATTAACATCATGATTTAAAGTTGTTTCAAAATCAAGATTATTCGAGGTTAAAATTTCATTTTTTGCAGTACTTGTTGGGATATCTGTTATTGTTGTTATCTCCTCTGCGAAATTTTCGAGAGGTGTAGTTAAAGTATATCTGTTTCTTATTCTTGATGGTCTTGTTCTAGTTTTTTTTGTGGTTGAAGATTCTACATCTACTCTATTAGTAGTTGAAGATATAGATTCTATGGTTGCCGATTCCTCATCAACTTTCTCTTCAATCTCTTCAAATACCGTATCGTTCTTTAATTCCTTTGCTTCATCAATTTCTGTTTTATTATTTTTTATTCTTGAAGATCTTGTTCTAGGACTTTTTGAATCAAACATTGAATCACCTTTTAAAGTTTCATCTTGATCAATTTCTTTCAAACCTTCAATTCCTGTTGGAACAATTTGATCTTCAACTTTACCATCTTTAACCTCTGCGTCTAAAATTGATTTCGTAACATTTTCTATTATTTCAGAACTATTCGTCAAATTTCTCATTTCTTCTTTATTTCCTGCGGGAACTATTTGATCTTCAATTTTACCATTTTCTTTAAAAATAGATTTCGTTGCATTTTGGAATTCATTTATTTCTGCAAAATCTTCTGTTGTTGTTGACTCAGTTAAAATATTTTCGGTCGATTGTGTAATTGGGGAAGTTAAAATTTCTTTATCGTATTGAGGAGTGGTTGAGACCACACCATATCGATTTCTTCCTCTAATCCTAGACGATCTTTGTATTTCTTTTTCCGTTGAAGTTGCAAATCTATTTCTACCTCTTCCTCTAACTCGATTGCTTTGATTTGCTTTTGTAGTTGTTAAAACATCTAATTTTTCACTTCCTTCTAATCTAGTTCCATGATTTTCTTCACCTCTAGCATGAATGACAGGAGTTGAATAATTATGGGAAGGCATTAAAATATTTGTTGCAACACTTTTTGTATGCTTCTCAATATTATGAATCATAAAACCTAAATCTGTCGTTGTTTCGGTGATAATAACCGTAGGAGTTGTTGTTTCAACTTTCATTTTATCAAAAAGATGAAATTCTTCTTCTTCTTTATTATCTTCTTTATTATTAGTAGTAGTAGTAGTAGTACTTGATTGAGTGGTTATTTCAACAGAAAATATTTCATTTTCTTTCGTACCTTCAAAATATTCTTTAGTATTAACTTCAATACTTGGTGGAGTTGTTAATATCATTTCAGCAGGAACTTCATTTTTATTTTTCTCATAATTGTCATCCACGTACTCATTCACATCGATTTTTCTTGGTTTAACATCTTGTTTATCAAACGTTTTAGGTTCATAATTATCATCAACGTAATCATAAAGTTGAATTTCAACCGCATTTCCTTTTTCGTCAATTTGTTTTATTTCATTTGAATCGGTTACTTTTAACTCATGAGTTGAATTATTCAAGTTAACTTCCTTACTATTACTAATATTAGTAACATTATCATCGTCTTCGTAATAATAATAATATTCATATTCAGGCGTTGTTCCATTAACATCTTTCATCGTTTGATTGTTGACATTATTGAGATAATCTTGATAATCCTCCTCTAAATACTTCTCAAATTCAACTGCTGTATTACTAGCTTTAGCAATTAATTCCTCGGTAACATCGTCCTTAAAATCTTCTTTAACTGCAGATAACTCTTTATTAATTTCAGTAATAGTTTCCCCATTTAAAGGTATCGTAACTTTTTCCGTAGTTTTTTCATAATCCGAATACCAATTTAATAAAAATCGAAGAATATCAGCAGCTTCCTTATCGGTTATGTTATAAGATCGCTTCTTTAACAGCTCATAATCAATATCACGTTTTGTTCTAATCGATTTTACTTTGGGTACGTCTTCAAAGAGTGGTAACAAAGTAACTTCTTCCTCGCTGTAATCTAAGTATGAATCGGAAAATATAGCGCTAATTGGGGTGTTATTTAATTTTGCGAGTTCTTTTCCGTTTTGATCTGAAATGCTAACGGAAACGCTTTTCTTAATTTTCGGATCGGAATGTCGTTTATTTCCTGTGTTGTGTGCAAAAGGTGCGGGGGAACTTAAAGAAGAATAAATTAAAGGAGGATTTATCGGTGGACGATCGGATCTTTGGAAATGGTAACCTTGATGAATTGGGGATGTTGAAATAATTCTTGCGGTCGAACTCTCTTGATGTTTATAATCTTCAACATATTCTTCTTCAAGCCCAGTTCCAGTTGGATAATTCTTATCATCTTGATAATCAAAATCGTAACTTAACTCAACATTTTTTTTAAGTTTCTCATCGTTTTTAATGTTATAAGAATGCGTTGTTACAATTGTATGTTGATTTTTGTCATCGTTAAATCGTTGCTGTTGATACGAAACCGGCTTAATATCCAACGAAGCGTCCGAATTAAGTTTCAAATTAATTTCTTTAGGATTAAATCTAAAATCGGGAGGAGAATCCGACGAAAACTGATGATGATGAAGAGCTAGTTTTTGATGAGTCGGTTTCGATTTAGCCGTCGTATAATAATGAGGGGTGTTTGCATGTCTCGGAGTTGGTGTTGAATAATATTTAGGGCGCGAAGTTGTCGTTGTTGTTGTCGTCGTTGTTGTTGGAGGAGCTGGACCCAAATCATCGCCTGGAATTACTAAAGGTGCGCTATTTCCGTATAATTCACGATTGTGATCGTAGTATTGTTCTGATTTTTCACAATCCACTTCATCTATTCTTTCACAGACCCTCGTTGACTGAAATTTAAATAAAAAAATAATTAATACAAGAAATATTTATTCTATTTAATGTTATTGTATATTTAAGATCTCACGGTGGCGATTCACCAAATTAAAAAAGGTTACACGTCCACTTAACATCAGTCTGCAATGGCAATCGATCAGAAGAACGTGAGCACAAACCATCGTTGAGAAATCTAAAAGTCAAGGTCTTCTCTGACCTAGAAAGACTTCTTTTTGCATTAGACACGTTTTTCTAGTCGTGTAACCGAATTATTTTCTTTAAAGGTGATGCAATCAAAACAAATAAAAAAATAACTTTATTACTAAACTATTAAAATTCGCGGAAGTATAAACTTTCCGCTTCCGATTTGGTTAATTTAAGTTTAATTAAACGTAAATATTTGTAAAACCTCAAAGTGAGTTACGCCAACGAGTTTCCACATAAAATTTTCAAACGGTAAATTAATATTAATAGATTTATAACTGTCGGTTACCATTGCACGCTCTTGTTACCATAAATTTTATTTTTACTATTACATAAATTAACATAGGTTTCTCTTACGTACAAAGTAACCGCGAGGAAACGCGATGTTGTAATCGTCAATTTTAAAACTCTGAAACTGTTTGGTTTTAAAATAAATTAAAATGTCACCGTTTCATCCTTTCTAATCAATTAAAACTACGGAGTAGTAACAACAGATGAATGTTGGAAATGGATTAGATAACACCGTAAAAAAGGATTTTAAAGTGAATACTTTGTGGTATCGTTAAAATAAAATTGCTTCCCTATTTTTCTCTTTTTTTTTGTGGAAATTGCAGCAGAATTTTAATCAGACTTTCGCTTTCGATAACCACGTGGTGTGTTTACAAATAAATTTAGAGAAAGGCTGAGAAAACTTAAAAAAAAAACTTTTTAAAAAATTTAAACTAGTACAAGTCAAAGTCAAGTTAACCTAAATAAAATTCAATACATCTCAGTTTGTAAAGAACTGAGACTTGTAGATAAAGGTGTAACTTATCTTAGAAAAAATGTAAAATACCGAAAGACCTAAAATACTATTAGTACACAATAAATTATTATCAGCTGATAACATGTTTTTCAAATCCAACCCGAAAGAGAATGGTGTCTAAGAAGGCACAAACCAAATTCTTTTCCATTGTGCAGTAAGATGCATTTTAAACTGTAATGTAAATGTAATCTTCATAAAAAATCCTTTAAAATGAGTCCAAACTCGACATATTTAACTTTAATATTAATGGAAATACAATCACTTCCGGTTTGAAACGTCAATTTTGACATATTTGTCATCTTCACTCGACATATTTAACTTTAATATTAATGGAAATACAATCACTTCCGGTTTGAAACGTTAACGTCAATTTTGACATATTTGTGTCCAAACTTGATGCGTTTATCTCAAAAAACCAAAAAGTTCTCTTAATTTTGACATATTTATCAACTTCATAAAAAATCCTTTAAAATAAATCCAAACTCGACATATTTAACTTTAATATTAATGGAAATACAATCACTTCTTGTTTGAAACGTCAATTTTGACATATTTGTCATCTTCATTAAAAAACCTTTAAAATGACTCCAAAGATGACGCACTTATCTAAAAAAACAAAAAAGTTAGAATAAAAAACATTAAACCCTAAGTTAGCAATAATGAAGATAGCAATATAATTTTTAAATATTAATACCAACCTTAATTTTTTATTTTTTTTTAAATATATTTTTGTTTTTGTGACAAATATTAAGACATTTTATAAAAATTAAGAATTTGTCAAAATGACATTGACATTTCAAACCGGAAGTTGCTTATATCTCGAGTAATATTGGAATTAAACGTATCATGTTTGGACTCATTTTAAAGGATTTTTCACGACGATTAGACAAATATGTCAAAATTGACGTTGACGTTCTTAACCGGAAGTTGACCATAACTTCATTAATATTGAAGATAAATATGTCGTGTTTGTACTCATTTTAAAGGATTTTTAATGAAGATTACAAATATGTCAAAATTGAGGTTGGCATTTTAAACTTGAAGTTAGTTATCATATGATAGAAGTTTTATAACTAAAGTTAATCTATTTTTCCGCACTTTCTTTTTATTTTTAACGTGTTTTTTGGGTCATTTCACATTGATTCAAAAAAATCGTCGATTTTTAAGCCACATGATGATTCTTAAATTTTTCTCAAGTTTTTTAATATTGTTAAAAAAGAGTTTGCTTAAATTTTAATCTGTAAACTTGTAACACTTCGTCTTTAATTTCATTTTACAACTTTTTAAACTTTAATTTTGTAAATTAGTTTGTAAAATGGATAAGATGAGAGATGTTAATCTATTTGTAGAGTCTCTGAAGATGGCCAAGGGCCGAAACTGATTAGACTTAAATTCTATATAAAATAAAAACCAGTTTAGAAGTACAAAATCAAACTCTAGATTATTTTGTTCAAAAATTTTTACACGCATCATCATTTTTTCTCTAGTTTTAGTGATTAAATTTATCCTACGACTTACAGAAACACCCTGTATGTTCTGTGATAAAAATGAACTCTTCTTTGTAGATTCAAATTACCTATTCAATCATTTATGCATAAATATACAGTTATTACAAGACTATAACTGACGATGTCAAGGTAAAGGTCGCAAGTTGTGCCGGACATTAATAACAACTTTCAGGCTAAAAACGTGCGTGTTTAAACTGAAATAATGAGCTGCAGGTTATAAGCTTTTAAAAGATTAAATGAAAGGTTATTATGGTTACGGGTGAAGAATTTCTTTAATTGGCTCATACACATTACCTGATCGAATACAGTCCCGTTTAAGCACAGGAAGCGGATATCCATCGTCTCGTTGTTTTGTCCGAGCGTACAAACGTGAAACATTTGGCATGCGGCTTCCACATCTGCATAATAACCGCCTACAATCCTCCAAGCACATGAAAAATTTGTATCAGGGAGATTATCAAAGTCCAAATACTATAAGATAAAAATAAAATTAAAATTAAAATACAGTCAAACATATCTCGTTTCGATATTAAATTCATAAAATAGAATGTTTCTGCTTTAATTTGAGATATAAGCTGTTTCTTAATATTCCACAAATAATAAAAAAATTCTCGTGACATTTTGTTATCTAAATCTCAAGGTTTTATTTAAGAAATATTCTATAAATACTGATCCGGGTTTACAGATAGTAACAGAAATCCCCGAACCCGCACCTATTAGTCGTTAGAAGATTCATCCAATTACCATAGCCGATCTAACTTAAAGGTAATGTCATCGAGAAAGGAATAAGGCAGCATACAAAAGAGACTTCGACCTTGATGGCCTTGTTTTCAGTGTTGTTGGGTAACCGACGATGTTGTTACAGAAATTGATGTCGAATGAGGTTTTTAATCGGAGGATACCAAATAGTTTAGTTAGTTACGGTTGGATTGTTGTTGGGGGATTCATTGTTAGAAGTTAATTGCCTCCGTGGATTCGGTACGGTCTGGGTTCTTAGGAAGGTCGAGAAACGAATGGAAATTTTCTTACGACCCGTTAAAACGTTTTTTTTATTTAATTTTAAGTGTCGGGAACGATTATAATTAGGCTAATCATGCTCGTTCGTTGTAATGCGTCATTTTTAAGGATGTAGTAGGATTGAAAATAATTAGAGAAATAACGACGTACTACGTTCATCCATTCATTCATTTGTGAATGAGTCATAATACGTGTTTAATATGAACGGGAGGGCGGACACAACAATTTCTTTTCTTTCAACGATTGCGAAAATTCCTCACATTTAATGAGGAAATCGAATTCAGTACTTACTTCGAAACAGCTGTAAAATAAAATAGCTGAACGCAAAAACTACTTTCCTTTCTAATTACTAACAGTTGACACAAGAATTTAAAGAGGAGTTTCTACATCTTCCAACTTAACACATGTTCTCAACTACTCAAGGGAGAAGACCACATCATTGGCGGTAATTAATACCTTGAAAACGATTTGGTATTTATTACAAACAATTAACGCGTATCTATTCAAACAATCCTTGCGTTTAAACATTTTCTGATAATTAATTAATTAACACCATCGATTTATGGACAACGAGTTCCATAACCATCAAATCATCCTCTTAAAGAATTTTTTACTAAATACTTTTATGTGTTTATTATTGTGAAATTTTATGATACGGTGGAGTCATCGAAAGGTCGTTTGAGAGGCCAAAATTTCAAGGCCGATTTTGTCCACAACGATACTGTCACTAAATTCCGTGACATTTTAAGCAGGTATATACAATGGAAAAGACGTGCTGCAATGGTATCAGATCTTTCGGTCGTTCGCAGAAGGAATTTTACTTGTGGGCGATGTAAATTGTTATATGACGACGAATTCTTGTAAGATAATAGCTTTATTTAGAGATGTAATAAAATTTCTTGAAAGTTTTCTTTTTCAAGGCTTCGATATTTCAATGTCGCTCATTAAAGTTTTCTTGCTCGCAAAACGGAACGGAGTAAACGAACCAAAAATTCCGACCGATTGTTTCAATTTCTACCAGATTTTTTTTTTGTTGTTTAAAGAAAGAATACCGCATTCAAACTCGGAAAAATTACCATAAAAGAAAATCTACGCGAAGAAACTTTAACGATTTCTTTCACGTGTTTGTTGTTTGTACTGGAAATCGACTTTCATTCGGCCGTGAACAATTACAAAATGTTTCGAATGGCTTTTTATAGTTAAAGATGAGTTAAAAAATAGTCTGGATACTTACACCGGGTTCAGGTGACACGAACATGAATCCAAGTTCTAGTAGATACAGCCACAACACAACTGAAATAGAAAAAGAAATTAGATCAAATTCGTTTTATAACGAGGTTGCATAAGATTTTTTTTAAATGGCATATTAAAGTATAAGTAATCGTCTTCATGGTACAATGAACATAAAATGTCAACAAAATTGTAGGCGGTTCACTTTCTATTCATGTCCAAAAACACTCTTGTGCAATACTCAAGTTAACTAAAAATAAACCGAAACGACTCCGTTAAACTTTTACCACCGTTATAACAAATTATTTTAACGCTTGCTTTATTATGTAATAACGAAATCGGTACAAAAAGACAAATTTGGGAATTATTTAAATATTAAATTAGATTTATGATACTGAAATAGATGATACTATTCATACGTTTTAACGCAATCAAACAAACCTCAATTTCACAAAGAAATTTTTATTATAAACCTTAATTATATATTTTATATTAAATTCATAGATCTTGGGATAACTTCGGTGCAATACAAATCTTACACTATAGGTTTGTTCGAGCAGAGAATTAGGTATTAGTTTGTGACAAATTAGTGCATTCATGAATGCGCATGCGCACGTAACGATTAATTGCGAACTAGTACGATATTTGTCACAGCGCGAACAGTAAAAATATGAAAACATTGTATTAAACATTGTATATGGCCATTGTATTAATTCGTCTGATAGGTTGCTTATAAAATACACTGTTCGCTGGATTACAGTTTGTAGGGAACTTATACTAATATTAAATCTATCAGCTATATCTCGGAAAGAAGCCGTCTGATGACCAGCAAACCACAGAAATATTAATATATGTTGTTTTTCTGTTAATTTTCCATTTCCTCCGGCTTGATAATTATAATACTGGCTGGCTTTAAATCGATTTGCTAGATCTTCAGCAACTACTCTACTCAAACGAAAATGTTCCATAAATTTTGAGTCGCTATACTGTTGTACTGTTATTTCGAAGTACTCTTCATTTTTTGGCTTTATTCGCACTGGTGTATCAAGTAATTCACCTTCTAGGTCATCATCACTTGACTCAAAATTTACTAAAGGCACATCTTCACTTGACGACGAAATATCGGACATGATTATTTATACTCTGATTTATACTAGGTACTTAAGAACGTGTTAACAACAATTACAGAATAATAAAGCGGATATTGTGTTTACAAATATAAATCGATTGTGTCGCCCTCTCGACGTGCTACGTTTATTACCAACAAACTCGCAAAGTATCCACTGCACATGACAGTACACAATCCGTCAACAATTTTTCGAAAGTCAGCAAATTGTAAAAACTATACCCAACCAGTACCCAACTAATCCTAAATTCTGATCGAACACACGACTGGTAGTCGATAAAGTCAGAATTCGGGATTAATTTACTGCTCGAACACCGTTACCATACTGCGCATGCGTCTCCCAATTTGCAGATTGGTTTTGCCGCTGCTCGAACAAACCTTATATTGAGTAATAATTGTACTTGACAAAAGTTGTCCAGGAAATATACAAGTCCTAAATGACATAATTTTATGCCAATGTTTTAAGAAAAGACTATTGAAAAGACTACACGACGTGGCATGAAGTCTATAAGTTGCTGTATTGTAGCGAGAGGGATGGCCAACCATGCCACCTCAACTCGTCTCCATAGCTCCTCAACGTTAGCCGAGGAAGCCGGATAACGTAGAAGTCTCCGACCAGTCATGTCCCAAACATGTTCGATCGGATTCAGATGCGGAAACCGAGCTAGCCATGGAAGCATTCGTATACGGTGCTCTTCCACAAAGGTCTGTACAACACGCCCGATGTGCTGTCTTACGTTGTCGTTAGTGTGCATGTATAGCAGACCTGGGAGCCACAACGGACCGTAGCACCTCATCTACGTATCGTTGACCCGTCATGGTCTGCTATACACGCAGCAGACGTGTACGTACACCATGTGTAATCGCACCCCATACCATAATGCTCGGTTGTCGGTGGATAGGGCGTTCTTGCACACACAGCTCGAGTAGACGATCACCACGGCTCCGACGAACTAAAATTCGCGCATCACCGGTGCTCAATTCGAATCATGATTCGTCGAAAAACAAAATGTCCCTCTACTCGGCAACCTACTAATGCCTATCGTCGACCCACTCGTGACGTATGCTGCGGTGCTCGGGTGTTACTGGAATCAGCTGTATCGCACGCGCAGTCCACTATCTACCAAACGCCGCCGTACAGTTCGCGTAGTGAGTGCGCCTTCCCCTGCCGGTGGCCAAACAGCTCCAAGTTGCCTTGAGGAGGACTCACACGACGCTAAAGCGCTGAGCACAAGAGCGCGATCCTCGTGTGCTGGGGTCACGCAGGGCCCTCCCGGCCGCGGCTGGAGGTACAGTTCTGTTCAGATATAATGCGAAAAGAGCCGCTCGTAGAGGCATAAAATTGTACTAGAAACGACCTACGTTCACGAGACATTCAATTCGGTTTTACCTGCTCTGTAGTCTTGTAAAAGTTCCGAACAGGCAAGCGGGGTGGTGTGATTTATATGGCCAAGATGACTGAATCACAAAAAAAAATAAGAAAATAAATAGGTATAAGCAATCCATTTAGTTTACACAATTCCTGTAGTAAATGAAAATAATTACTAATAATTACTGTATTACTTTGGTAATACAGTGGAAGGATAAGTCGAACCTCAAAAGAAATGAAAATGATATATTGATAATATATACCATTTTAATGTAATAAAATCAAACAATCAACAATCAATATAATAATATATAATACTCTTATATAACAAAAAATATAAGATATTATTATACATATAAAATATAATAAATATTATAATAATCTAATTGGGGAGAATTTCATACAGTCCATTATACCATCAAATATCAGTATTTTGTATAATATCCATTATTCTCTACGCAACATTGCAATCTGGTGGACATCGAATTTACTAATCTTTCGCATACATCCTTGCCGCGAAACAATTCCCACACAACTGTAATGTTGCGGCGCAGATTATCAGAAAGTTGGCATTTTTATTAAACTGTTTTTCCACCAAAGCCCACAGATTTTCGAATGGGTTTAGATCCGGTGACCAAGCTGGCCAGGGTATTCGCCTAACCTCATTATGATCGTTAAACCAATCATGAACAATTCTTGAAGAATGCACGGGCGAATTGTCTTGGACTATCGTGATGATCCCTTCTGGATACAAGGTTCTTACTGATGGTATCAAAACATCCTCCACCACTCGAATGTATTCAATCGAATTAAATCTTCCTTTAATTTCGGTCAGTTCTCCCGGTCCATGAATACTCATCCATCCCCAATAACCCAAGGAAATACGTCCACTTCTTGTATTGGGTTGAACATGATTACCATCATACCGGGTTCCATTCCTTCGCCATAGTAATTTCTTATGGTCGTTAATTATACTCAAGGTATTTACAGGCAAATCGTAACCGTGTTGTAGCCAATTGCTCCGTAATTAGGATTTTTTTACAGCTACCCGGTCATGAATAACTTTTATCTGACGTTTTATTTATAGAAATACTTTATTAGAGGAACATATAAAAAATCGTGTATTTGTTGTGCTTAAAAATATCAAAAAAGATTTAAAATAAAATAAAATTAACACATTTAAAAAAAGGTGCTCCATTCTTCGGCCCACTTCCAACTGAGACGGTTTTACCTGGGTTTTACTCTCTTCCTTTAGTCTCAGAAATCGAATTGAATAGAAACAAAAGATGTCTCCGTCTTCTTCCAGTACCAGCGGCATGTCGGGCGCTAACAGCGGCCGATTCGCATTAAATCTGAACAGAGCTGTACCTATGACCTCAGACCATTCTCGCCATGCCCGTTGCACTGCCGATAACGACCGCTCGAGACGACGCGCAATTTCACGGAACGATACACCCTCAATGTGCATACCCTCAAACATTCCTCGCTTAAGTAACGCGATCGCCCATCCATTGCGCATAGAGTACGATAACAATGTGGTCCCTCAGACCACACTAAAAACGACCGGTATTTTCCATCCACTTCGGTCTCCACAGCGACGGAATGTTCCACTTGGAAGAGCGGCTCAGTCAACAATGCCGCGACAGAACAACTCAAAACTCGATGAATAAACTCGTCTACAGTAAACCTTTGTGCTCCGCAAATACCATGGATTTATCTTCACGCGTTCAGATTATATAGGGTGTGCTCGTGAATTATGTCCAACAGTGTATAACCTCACTTGGGATAACTTAGGCACGATACAAATCTTACATTATATTGAGTACTTATTGTGCTTGACCAAACTTGTCTAGGAAATATACAAGTCCCAAATGACATCATTTTATGCCAATGTTTTAAGAAAAGACTATTGGATATCAGAACGTTTCAAAGCAGTTTGCGTGGGGATCCAAAAGTTTCAAAGATGAGTTTCACATTCAAACAAACCTCAATTTCTATAACCTTAATTTATATGTTTTATATTAAATTCATAAAATAGAATGTTTCAGCTTTAATTTGAGATATAACCTCACTTGGGAAAACTTGGGCACAATACAAATTTACAGGATTACACCATATTGAGTACTTATTATACTTAACAAAAATTGTCCAGCAAATATACAAGTCCTAAATGACATAATTTGCCAATGTTATATGTAAAGACAATTTGATATCAGAACGTTTCAAAGTAGTTTGCGTGATTCATGATTTCGTCATGAATCATAAACAGTAAATAAAATAGTAAATTTAGAACGAATTTAGCTATTTGCTAAGTAACTTTTTTTAAACGTCAACTTCAAAGTACCGTTACGTTAAACCTCAACAACCGTTGAGTACTTTCGTGCAAGTCCCACAAGAAAATTTATTACAATAATTGTCCTCATATCTTCCTGCTACAGTTGCCGTCGTAAACGCCACATATAGCGGTATAACCATATATCATTTACATAACGGCCACTTTCTTATCTACCAACACAGTCGTTGTTTTCCGCTCGTTTTTGTACTGGTTCTGGAATAGGTCATGGACTG